AGATGAGATGTTGGCCTGTGATAAGCACTGGCGGCTCAGGTGATATGACTGACATAACCATTCATTGTAAGCTGAATAATAGAGTTTACCGAGGCCCTTCGGACAACCGCATCGAGCTTGCCGCGGCAGATCCATACAACACCGGCCGGCGGCGACTCAAAATGGCATTCTCACAGATCGCCACGGAAATGGGGCTTCGTGACGGCGATGCAGAGATGCCAGTGCGCGGCGAACGCAATAGCGGCGGTCGGTGATGATCGGCAATCGCCGGGGCAGGCCCCAGGGCTGCGCAGGTGGCAAGCGTTGTCAACTTGTGTAGAACTCGCCAGGGAGGATAAGCTTGGGGTATCTCGTCTACGGAGACCCGCCATATAACCCAAGCGGCTAAGTACGACCCGCCGGCCAATTTTCGGGTGTCCAGCGCTGCGTGCCCGGGAGTGGCTACCGGGCGATTAAGCATAGGAGCTGCCTGCCTATGTGTTCAAAAATAGCAATAGTGCTTAAAGTAGCATGCTTGTACTACTCACCGTGACACCACCCTGACGGCGGCATGCGGCAAGTGCCGACCTGGTTATGCCAGAGTCCCAGCACACGCCTGGGAACTTGTCAGATCACTTGGCGATGGAAGGATGAGTGTGAAGATTTGAGGTGAAGAACACCGCGTAAGGCACCGGATGCAATATCATGCCCGATGTCCTGGCAGAGGGCACCCGTGTGGCTGAAGATTGTATTCGCCAGTGCGTCTGTACAATCGCCACGGGCTTGTCGTCGGACATCTCGTCGTTACATCGCCAGGACGCCTTGTGACTTTTGTCCCCTTCACTCAGGGCGACGCGGCGACCTGGTGATTGGGTTTCATTTCGCCAGGGCTCGGCACCAGGGCGGTCGCGCAAATAGGGACTTTTCATTCAGCACCAGCAGATATATATAAAGTGGTGGGGAAAGGTGGAAGAAGGTAAGATCAGACTTCCCTGTGTAGAAAGACAATTATAAACTGCCGCCGCAGGCGCATGTGCCATAGACGGCTTGAGCACCGGGATAAAATCGTTGTCATCATGATCGCCTGGTGGATGTCGATAGGTGCGCGTATCGTGTCATTCTCGTGAGTCTTAACAAACCCCGGGGGATACGTCGCGAGCCAGCGAACAATATTCATAGAGCCAGCCAGGCAGAGTCCGCAGACCGTTGGTGTCACAAGTTTCGCAGAACCTCAGCGAGATACGCAATTGTTGCGTATTAGCAAAAAAAGCGAGCAGAGAACAACGCATACGAGTGTTGGGAATCGAACCCGTGAAGGTAATGATGACGGTGGGTTCACAACCTTTCCGCCAAGGACCCGTGTAACTGTGTGTGAGATAAGGCATCTAAGTCAATAACACAGCACCACTTTGTCATGGCTGCACCTCGTCTATCTCAATTCCCGATGATAGACAAGATCTCTATTGCGCAAATGAGTCCGCAAGCGCAAGAGACAAACCATGGCGCAGACCAGACGAGCATTGTAGCGGTGAGTCGCAATAGTACAATCATAGTATAACAGTCGATGCTGAAATTACAGATCCTACATACATACATGCAACAGAATCTAGTACCTCAGGCGAATGTGTCTTGACGAATCGAGTGCAATAGCGCTGACTATTTGACATTGCGGTATCATTCTAAGCAAGCCGCATGGTGCACCGGTCCCAAATGCGAATGTGACGTTGGACATGGCGTGCGTTCGATTCGCACAGCGGCCATCTTTCGCTGATTCTCTGCTTTTTACCCGACGAGCCTCCCCAATTCGTCCTACTGATTGTCTTCGGTCCCGCTATGGGCGATTGTGAATCGCCGGTCAACCCTGGCTGTGGCGATGCCATCCGCCCCCGCTGTGTAGCTCTCGGAATAGTCAACGCGACATCCCCCGGGATTAATCGAGACCTTCATTTCCATCCAAGCAGGATGTTCAGCGATCACCAGAACCAGGCTGCGGTGCTTGACTTGTGCGCATGGCAGCCCCTGACCGAGCAGGAATGCTGGGTTGCTGGTCATTCTGGGAGCGTATTCCTTTGAGTTTCGCCAAAGCGCCGAAGCAAGCGGAGGTGGTAGGTACTAGGTGTGCCTAACACGGGCCGTGACTGAAACAGCGACACCAAAATGAGGACCAAGGACCTGTCCTTGGGCTTGCGTTCGTCCTCAGGTTACTCGCGGCGGAAGTGCCTATCTTCAAGCTTCAATGTAAAAGACATCGCGAGCCCGGTCATTTCTCGCGATCAACACCCCAGCGCTCATCGCTTGTGAGAAAGAAGAGTTCCGTGCCACATCACAGAATCGAATCGCCTTGCCGGTTCGGGCCAGAAAATTCACTCAAACGCAAGTCACCTGGTGGTGTAGGAGGCAGCGACGACCAAAGACGAAAGCCAAAGAACGCCGCAGAAGGCAACGTTGCGCGTTCCGTCAGCATCGTTACTCTAGACGTGGCGCAACTGTGTAAGGTACGACAATGACGAGTGCTGACAGAGCCATCACGCAGCATTGTACCATATGCCGCCGCCCTCGGCCCACAGTAGGTACCGGGTGATAGATTTCTTAGGATCCAGATGATCCAAAGTGGCTGGTGACGCGGCCCTTGTATCTTCGGGTAACGGGAAAACACTCTCGCGACACGGCGATCCCTTACACAATCGCCTCGAGGCTCTAGGACCAACACTTACTTGAGTCTGTCCCGGGGCAAAGACTCCGGGAGTATTGAATGCCGAATAGAGGTCGAAATTTCTATTCAATATGTATATTCACCACACAAGTCTCAGACAGCCGACAATGCATTTCTAGCGCTCACTAGCACGGACCGTATGAATAGCAAGCGAGTTCGGTGAAATCTCACAAAGAGTGGGCCAAACCTTGAGAGAAACTCTCAGCCGTGTGATCCCAAGAATGTGACCGTAAGTTATAAGAAGTCGACACTGCCGAGCGTCCGTCCTTATCCCCATCGCGCTGTCCCCCCATGAGCACCGCACCCTCAGACCAGCTCAACAGCGCCGGTGAGCTCCGTCAAATCTCTCTCGTGCACGCACCTTCGCTAACGGTGCTATAGTGGTGACGCTCACCGCGTCCGTCGCCAGACTCGGCGAGATGTTTATGCGCGAGACCGAGCAGTCGCGAATGTTGTATCAGCAGCAGACGCAGGAGCTACATGCTGAGATGAGCGCGATGGCGGCAAGGGCGGAGGAGCGCGAGAGTGTCATGAACGTGAGGCTGGCGCAGCTCGCCGCCTATCTTGAGGCAAATTTTCCCCAAGGTTATCCTGGCGGATGACGATAGAACCCCGCGTGTCATGCTGACTGTACGAGCAGGCAACGAGGGCAAACCCTCCCCACAGCAGGTCGATGAACCGTAATCGCTTATCAGTTCTCACTAGTCGCATCTATCACGATAAGGGCAGCATACGAAGTTGGGAAGTTTGGAATGTTTCTGTAAACTGGGCGTGAAACACTATATGATTGCGTGTGACAGGATATTCGAACAAGCGCGATGAAGTCCGAGAGTGAGAAAGCCGCAGCACAATATTTGAATGCCCATAGAGTGCTCGGGGGAAAGGCTCCCGCAGAAGTTTCTGATGTCGGATTGAAGCTATACCTTACTGGTGAAAACCACCGGCTCATACCTTAATAGACTCCCCTTCGATTCCGAAGCATAGTTGACGCCGGCGCGTTGCTAACGGTCATCGGTTCGTGAAATCAAGAGGGGTGACCTGGTGCACGGCTTTTCGGGAACACCGGACACCGGCTCATGAAGAGACGAGGACGCGGATCTTACGGCATGCTCTATTTTCGAAAGCATGAGTTCGCCAACGCCATTGATGAACCACCGGGCGGTGTTTGATTGAATATGCTTATATACTCAGAGCCCCGCCGGCCTGAGGGCGACTGATAGTTGCAAACCTAATATAGGAATGGACCTCCATATCCGCGAGGTCATCTTTGCCTCATGTAGATCTAAGAAAGACCATGAGCGCCCGTCTGGTTTCAACTAACTGCTTCCCTGAGCTTCGACAGGAAGCGAGGGCGCCTATCCCTGCCCCAAAGCTAGTTTCATAAAATCCCGCAGTCTTTGGTGATGTCATTGGACCTGAGGCTCGCTCACACGCCTTTCAAACAAGCACACGGTTGCCGTCCGACGGTGATCTTGATTTCCTGGTCTATGCGGAGACTGCCGAGGGAAGTGTACTCAGCCTGACGCCGGTAATCTTGACGTTGGACTTCGACGAGAACCATCATGTCGCTGGCTATCGTACCCATAGAACTCTGGCAGGATATCGCTCTCCAAGTCGTCGCCGACATTAACCCGGTTCGCAACATCCGTTCATGTTCCCTAGCCTTGCCCGACAGTCTTTTGGAGCCATTGAAGACTGTTTCGTTTCGTTTTCCTGGAACGTTCAATGACTCGACTCACCAGCGCAGAGCGAAGCGGCTCCCGGGGCCTCATGCGGATACTTGCACCTATGGGAACACTCTCGACGCTGTACCGAGTCAGGTTCAATGGCACAGCGCAGGCCAAGCTCCATCACCGAGATCTGTAGTCTCATCTCTGCTTGCCATCAATCGCCGGATGCGCCATGCTTTGTACAACCTGCCGGAATTTTGGCAAAATATTGCTCTTCTTATCCCAGCTACAACGTTGCACGCTTTGCAATGCACAAGCCGGCGACCAGGCATCTCTCTGAACGTCTCATCCGACCTCCTTCTCTGTCGATGCGCGCTGGATATGCTGCAGCCTCATCTTCCGAATGCGACTCGTGTCAATGTAGTGTTTTCTGGCGAGTATGTGGGTGCCTCGCACCCCTCGCATGCGCTCGGCGAATCGTTACATGCTGTGCTCAACAGCAAGCTTACATACCTCGAGCATCGCTTTACCCTCAATGACCAGCCGTCGGGGGCTAGCATTCAGGACTACGAGCTCCCGGCCTTGGAGGCCCTCGTGGGAGTGAATATCTTATCTATTCCGTACGGCGGGTCTTTGCGCCGAGTGAATCTCGCCGCCGAGAGATGGGATCACACCATACCCGCC